TAAAAATGAATATTAAAAGTTGAATGTGTCCATAACTGGACCCACGTGTTGCAGGTGATTTGATTTATAACAGGATTGTAAAGTGTTGACCTTGAACAGAGCTGCATCCTCCGTCTGCTTGTAGTCCTTCTTGGCTGCGTGTTTCCACGGGATCCTGAACATGGTCCTGTCCTCGTCCTCCCAGCTCAGTCCCTCATACCGTCCGCTCTCTATCTGACTGATCAGCCACTCTTTCAGGTGCAGCTTGGCTCCTTCTTCCATCTTCAACACATCACTCGGTCTCTACAGCTTCACCGTCGAACCTCGGACACACACAGACGGAGACATGTCCAAAGAAACGCAGCCCGATCACGTCTTCGCCTTCACAAGCTGAAAAGTCATCAATATCTTTTTTATTCTGCGTCTAGAATTTAAACACAAACCAGCAGCCTGATGATGAGAGGGATAACTGCAGTTTGTCAAAGTTACAGAGAGAGAAAAGGAGCTACTTGCAAACCTGTGCGTAACAGTCGAGCGTAAAACCAAGTTCGCTGCGCTCTGGAAGCGAAAGCGAAACGTAGAGTTCAGTTTATGCTTTCGGTTTCCTGCTGATAGCTGAGTCGTTGAGAAACTTCAATCATTTCCGTGTAAGGTGTGTGAGGAAGGTGATACACGAGCAGATCACTGGGTCAAAAAGAAATGTGGTATTAGATCTATGAGAATGTTTTATTTTATTATAATGGTTTGTTTGAGTTTGTTTATCTTTTCTTACCTTGCTGTTTTACAGTTTCCTGTATTCCTTGCCTTCCCTTTTGAAAGGTGTTATATAAATAAAAGTATTGTTATAATTGTTATTATTATTATGGAGTTATTCTATATGAGGGTTAGGGTTAAAGGTACAGTGTGTAGAATTTTGGGATAGTGTTGAAATTACATGTTGCAGCTTAACACCCCTCACGTCACCCTCTCCTTCCAAACATGAAAAAGAACCTGTGGTAGCCTTCAGTTTTCATAAAAACTCAAAAGGTGTTTAGTTTGTCCAGTCTGGACTAATGTAAAAAACATGGCGGCCTCCGTAGAGAAGGTCCCCTCGATGTAAATATGAAGTATTTAAATATAAAGGGCCTTTTCTGGGGTAAAGAAAACAACAATTCATACAATTTAGATGAAACAAACTAGTGAAAACATCATGAGGATTATTCTACATAAGATTTCTGCCAATAATAGTTCCCTTTCACCTAAATCTTACACACTGGACTTTTAAGTTCATGTGAGGAAAAAGTCTGGTTTACATTATAAATGTGGACAGAAGAACACATGTAATGAAAGATTTACTTTAATTGTACATTAAGTTATGTTTTCTTGGGATATTTTAATGACACCGAGAAGCTTTCATCCAACACCTACAGCCCCTGGTGCCACATCTGCAATTTAGTTTCTGTTTTCTTTCTGTTAAACACTGTAAAGAAACTCACACAGCTTAGCCTGTTAAAATGAAAGTGTGTGTGTGTGTGTGTGTTCCTGTACTATCTGGGGACCATTTTAAGCACAGACCCAACAGAGTGAGGACATTTTGGCTGGTCCTCACTTTCCAAAAATGTGTCCAGTCTCAGTGGCTGTTTGAGGGTAAAGACTTGGTTTTAGGGTCAGAATTAGGTTTAGGTCAGGCATTTAGTTTGGATGGTTAGGTGCAAGAGAATGCAAAATGCCAATGAGTGTCTTCACTAAGATAGAAGTCCGAACATGATGATGCAAAAATTAAGATCAAGAAGACATGAACCCTATAATGCTGTGTTAACAATGACACTTTGTAGTTTTATCCAGCAGAGGGCAGTGTAAATCTGTCTTACTCTCTATACCCACACAAATGACACTTATAA